TTCATCAGCGCAATGGCGAGAATCAGCCTGAATTGCAGCGGAAGTCTGGGAGTCCGGGCTTACAGCTTCGGGCTTCTGAGTTTAGTGTTTAGGGTCATATGTGTGTATATATATATATGTATATATATATATATATATATATATATATGTATATGTGTATGTATATGTATGTGTATATGAATAGTATATGTGGATGTAGATGTATATGTATGAATGGTTAACTGCGTATATGTATGTATGTACATATGTCAGCTGTTTCTACACTGGCCCACCTGCATTCTCGTCTGCCCGGGCTACTCCCAGCTACCCACGAAGCTACCCGCCGCCGGTGACCTACCATAGGGACCTTAATAACTACACCTATTCGATTATTCCATGTTGGCGGTTCCTTCTTATAATCATAGTATAACGAGCCCCAAAGCCCTATTCTAATTCTGAAGGCCCGTACATTAACTCGTCCTTACTCAGACGTAAAGCAAGGGCAAGAGCTGGCTCGATGGTCTGGGCCTCGCGGCTGCTGGTTAGAGGGTTTAGGGATTGGGGCTTGAGAGGGTGTAGGGGTTTAGGGGTTTAGGGCTTACCCGTGTTAAAGACCTTAGTGGCGAGCATCAATTCGCCGATTTCCCGGCATGCCTCGTTGAAGCCAACCTGCAGCCCTACAACAGAAGCATCCATGCGAAGAGACCACCAGAACAAGCCCGCAAGAGCGAATCTGATTGAACTGCTTTGGGAACCAGACGCCCTAAAGCCCCAAATCCTAGACTCTAACCCTAAACCCTAAACCCCTAAACCCTAAACCGTAAACCAGACCCTACAGTAAAGCCCTAAAGCCCTAAACCCGAAACCCTAAAGCCCCTAAGCACCAGAGCCGAAAGCCCTGACCCCTAGAGTCAAAGGGTAAAAGGAGGGACCCTTAACAAGGACCCCTAGGTAAAAACCATTAATATAGCCATTATATACCCATCATATAGCCCATTATAGGGTAGGGGTCCCCATTAAGGGTCCCTCCTTTTTCCCTTTGATAGAGCCCTAAATCCTAGACTCACCCTAAACCCCCAAAGCCCCAAGCCCTAGAGGAAAAATGTGGGACCCTGCTATAGCACCCTACATAGTAGGAAGGACCCCAAAATCAGGTCTCCCTAATTTTCGGAAACTCCCAAACCCTGAACCCTAAACCCTATAGATCCCTTATAGGAGCCCTTAAAGGAAGCCCTAGTAATCCCTTGAAAGGTACCCCTAATTTTCGGAACCTCCCCTCCAGCGCCCCGGAGCCGAAAAGCCCTAAAGGGAACTCCAGAAAGTTGGAATATAGGATACCTTATAATTTACCATAAAGGGTTTAGGATAATCATATTCCAACTTTCTGGCTTTTACTTTAAAGCCCCCCCAAAGCCCTCCACTGCGACGCGGCGGCTGAACTCCCATAAAGTACAGGAAGAGCTCCAACCTCCCCAGCTCAGGCTTTAGGGCGTAGGGGTTTAGGGTTTAAGGGTTTAAGGTTTCGGGTTTAGGGTTTAGGGGTTAGGGTTTTGGGGTTAGGGCTTAGGGTTTAGGGGTTAGGGTTTTGGGGTTAGGGCTTAGCGGTTGTTAGGGTTTTAGGGTTTAAGGGTTTAAGGTTTTGGGTTTAGGGTTCAGGGTTTAAGGGTTTAAGGGTTTAAGGTTTCGGGTTTAGGGGTTAGGGTTTAGGGGTTTAATGGTTTAAGGTTTCGGGTTTAGGGCTTAAGGTTTAGGGGTTAGGGTTTCTTTTTTGAGCGCCTTCTTCCATCCGCCCAATGGTGTCCGGAACTTCTAAATTAAGGTTTAGGTTCGGAGGTCCCGGGGGAAAGGTTCTGGGTTTTCAGGCTTGGGGCTTGTGGGGAATTAGGATTTGAGCGTTCAGAGTTTTAGGAATGAATTTCTGCATTGAACTAGTTCGACCTATAGGGTTCTATCATTGGAAAGGAGAAAAAGTTCCTTTCAAGGGTTGCGCTACGGGTTCCATAAGGAGTCTGTAGAGGGTTCAGGGTTTTCTGGCAGAGGGGCGTCCTTTTTTGTTCTGCCCTCTTTCCAGCAGCTAGCTTCCAGAAAACTAGGTTGGCTTAGGGCCGTTTTGGGATTGGGGTTCAGGGTAAGGTTTGGGGTTTAGGTATTAGGTATCAGGGTTTAGGGTTCATGTAGGAACCTGATCAAGAAACCTTGGGCCTTTATGATAGTTCCTTATATGAAGCCTAGGGCCCGAATCGCCCAGCAGCGGAGCAGCTAGCAGGGAACATCGACGGCCCCAGTGCGAAATCGCACGTCGGCGTGCTGACGCTTTCGCGCAGCCCTCGTTGGCATCGGCGCCAACGACAACACCGAGCTCGTGCACGTGCACGGGTGAAAGCTGCACAGAGTGCAGCACGATCCTTGCCTTGCAAGGACCTTCACCTGCTCGAAGGCCACCACAGCAGACCAAGGTACCGCCGAATGGGAGGCCCGCCATGGAGGGGAGGCCGCGAGAACAAATCCGGCAAGGGCGGCAAAGATGGTGGTTACTACTGGCGTGGTGCCTGGTCGCCCAACTACCCCAAGGCGGGCAAGGACAGGGCTCCGGACATCAAGTTCCCTACGTACGACAGTATGAGTGTGGCACAGCCCAAAGCTGGGCGCGGACCGGACAGGCAGCCCGACGAAGTGCTCATGGAGGACTCGGACGACCGGCTGCGGAGTGTGATGCAAGAGGGATTGAACCAAGCGAGAAAGGCAGAGCAGCGTGTAAGACAGCTGGCTCAGACCCGTACCAAACGGGAAGGGCAGTGGACTGCCTACCTAGACGCGCTGCGCAAGTCGTACCTGCGGGAGCACGACAAGTACCAGCGCGAGATTGGACGGATCCAGGACGATCTGCAGACGGCCCTCCAAGCACAGGAGGAAGCTCGAGCGAACCTCCGGACACTGCACTTGCGAGAAGAGAGGCCCGCTCCCGCGGCTCCAGTCGAGGATGCATGGGATGCTCTCACGAGGGCGTGGCATCAGGAACGCCGAGAGGAGCAGGATGCCTCTGCCGTTTTGAGCAGAGCATTTGGTTCGCAGTCGGAGGCGGCGGCTGTCCTCGCAGGAGAGCGACGACTCAGTCCGGACATGATGGCTTTTCTTCAGGCGATGGGGGCCATGCAGGCTGGGGAAGCAGCCTCTGCCAGGCCACAACAGACGGAAGGAGCGATCCCGCCGGCCCGACAGCAGGCCTACAATGCCATGTCTCCGAGCCCTCGCCCTCCAGCAGGGCCTGGTTCGGGGACCTTGGAGCCCCCGATGCCGGTGGTCAGCGAACCACCTCCAGGACTTGCGCCCCATCAACAGCCTTTCTCAGCTGCCGATCCTACTGCGGTCCGTTTGTCTGGGTCTGGAGATGTCAATGCGGAAATCGGCGACGGACAGCTGAGGCCGAGGAAAGCGGTAAAGGAGCTGCCAAGCGGCGTCGTGAAGGCAGCCTCGCCTTCGACCAAGAGCCTTGCCGCGAAGCTGGAAGAGAAGCGAGCGCAGGAGCTGGCCAAGCATGCACCTGCAGGCCCTTCGAGCGCCTCCGAGTCACCTGGCCAGATCCCCCTTGGGATCCCCGTTGTCGACGACGATTCGGACGAGGACCTCGCACAGACTGGAGCTCCAGCAAGCTTGGGTGCAATGGAGTAGTGGCAATGATCAGGGCGTCATCCTGCGCTGGCGGCGGTGACCTTACGATTCGGCTGGGGGGCGTTCAGACCCTCGGTCAAGAATCTCTGTGTCACCAACGCGTCGCGGTTGATGACTGCCCTGATCTGGATCCTCTGTCTCTACTGAGGGCTGAGTGGTGCGAATGTACAGAAGTAGTCTCGCTTGCTGTACAGTTCTTCGGTGCTGACCACTCTGAGGGCCTTATCCACGATTCCCTTGATTCGCATGTGCGGCTGGGTTCTGAGCTGCTTCGGGTTTTTGCAGCTCTCGGATCCGGTACCTCACTGTCTTCCTCGCGAAGAGCCCAGGAGCACGGGATTTGTGTTCACTGGACTCTTCCCCCGCCTGTCATGCACTGCATATCTCCTCCCTGCAGTCCTGCGACTGGTGCCAGGGTTTGCTTTTCTGGTGAAGGGTGCCAAAGTGATACATCGGTGGCGCTGGGGTATCCACCTTCTACCAGACTTGCACGCTCTGCCAATTTCGGGCCTCAGGACACATGCGATGAACGCCTTGCTGCTTTGGGGATACGACTTTTGGTTTCGCTGGGTTCCGTTCTGGTTCCTGCTGCCCGAGCCATTCTCTTTATGCTTTTCCTGCATCTTGTTTGGCTCTTTGTCAAAGGGATGCCTGGACGTCGCACAGCATTTTTGAAAGCTTTGCGCCTTCCCCTCTCAGGGGTTCAGCCTCAGGTTTTGTTCTCTCTCGCTGAGGTAGGGCGTTTGAAGAGCCAAGCAGGCACATTGTGTCGTGCCTCCCAAGGGCTCGGTACCCGCCGTGGGCGACAACAGGCCCCTAGGAATACGCCATCTCGGCGTCGAGGTCTTTGGTGGCTGTGGACCATTATTGGATGCAGTATCCCGCAGCAAGTGTGGGCTGTTCCCACGGAAATACCCCGCTCAGTTGCTGAGCTGCAGCGGCTTGGACTCTTGCTTCCGGAAGGTCTACGGCCATCCATTGCACCTCCTTCGGACCAACATGCAGATGATTTCATACTGCTACCGGCAGAACCAGGTGTCACTGAGGCACTCACCCCGGATCGATGGCTTAGCGTCACCGTACATGCAGTGCACCATGTTCCCAGGCATTATGCTGTTGCCCTCACGCTCCGACAGGGACTTGTGAGTTTGGTCAGCAAGGTCAGGCGCTTTGTTCAGCGTGACCGGCCCCTCCTGTCATGTGTTGTGCCGGTCTCGCCTCAGCGATTTAGCGGCTCGGCCGCCTTTCTTGCTCATCCGGCCTGCCTCGACGAACTAGAGCTAGTGGCAGGCATCATCGACCTGACTCATGTAGGAGGGCAGTACTTCGCAACATGTTTGCCGACTAGGTGCACGGCCGAGGACCTCTTGAACGACGTCGCTGCAGAGCTTGATTGTGAAGTCTCTGAGGTTAGCATATATGTCGGAGCTGGGTTTCGACTTTGCTCCGGGGCAGACAGGCTAGGCCTCTGCCACGGCGACGCAATCACCATCTTGCGCACGGGTGTGCCAACCCCGCAGCCCGTCCTCATTAGTGAGCTCTTCCAGATAGGCGAAATGTGGGACCTTCCCGGAGATGTGCCAACTGCTCATAGGAGGCCTTGCATTGCCGTTTGGTTCCGCGACGGGTGGCATGTCCTTCAGACAGCACTGTTCCCGGGCCGAGACATCCTTAGTATTGTCTCTGAGCGGTTTCGTGTTTCCGCGGATTTGCTTCAAATCGAGGTGTCCTTGTGCGTTTTTGGCTTCGCTTTGTGGGGCGAGCCTTGCAGCTCTGTTGCAGTCATACATGAACATCCTGGGCTTTTGCCTGAGGACGACGAGTGCGATGCTTGGAGCCTGATTTGTGACCTCAGGCCGATCGGATTGCTGCCCAAGGTGCTGTCGGTGCCTGCCCAGGGGTTCTGTCTTCAGGACCTTGAACGCCTTCTCGTTCTGCCTGTAGGTCGAGGGATTCGCTATGCATTGCAAGAGGTTGGTGAGATACCTGCAGATGGCACGCCGAGTCTACATACGCTGCTAGTGACCGCCTCCCCTGAGCGCGACGGTGCCCGACTCCAGGTACCTAGAACCTACCACGCATGTGGAGCCATCGCTGCAATCGTCCAGGGATCTTATTTCTTCCGGGCCAGTGAGGAACCGGGTCCCCACCTCTTTGTCCATAGGACAGCACGGCACCCGCGGCCGCCTATAGCCTCGGACTCCGATACGAGTGAAAATAGTGCCCACAGCCTTTCTGTTTCCATACAAGTGCTAGTTTTGGCTGTAGATTGGGTTGGCAAGGTTGTTGCGGTTGATGTTCGTGTGCCCGAAACGGAGCAAGACCTTTTCGCTGCGGTTGAGGAAGAACTGCCGCAGCACTTTGCGCTCCGGTACCCGCACCTTGTATCTGTCTGGCCCCAACCTTCGGATGAGTGGGCGACGGTTTTGGCATTGCCTTGCTGGACCGACAGCGCGGATATTGTTGTCCTGGACTTGCGGCAGGTCGATGGTAGGCTGTTTGCCACGACGTGTGCCCCAGTTGTCATGCGCGGCAGCCTTTTTGACCTGGCTGATGTTGCTGATGATGGTTCTTGGCAAGTTGTCGCATTCGGACGGCCCCTTGTTGACCGTGACGCTATGATCCCAATTGTGCGCCATGGTTGCGTTGCCTTCAAGCGAGCTGGGGTCCTGGGACCGCGAACACATACGCTTGCTGCTATGCTGGCGTCTCCTTTCGGCTGGGATGATGAAGTTGACGTGCCGCTCGGGCCCGGTGGCCGGCGAGGGAACTTTGTCTGCATTGTTCTGGAAGATGGCATGAGGCTTTTCCGCATCCCGCCTTTTCGAGGACGCCACCACCTCGAAGACATCTCTGAAGCTTTTGGGCTTGCCTTGCACTGGACCACGGCTCGCGTTGCACGACCGGCTGTGCATGATGCCTGCTATCGTGGTCACCGGTGCCGGGGTGTTGCACTGGTGTCCGGGTCCTTTCCGAACGTGCCTGTTCCTCCAGCTTTGTTTCGCCCCGGGGATTTCCCCATTGCACTTGACTGCAGAGCCATTCTTCAGGGCTGGCAGATGCATCTTGTTTTCGACTTCCGGTGCTCCCATGCGGAGCTGGTGCAGCAGTACTCTACCCTCGCGCCCCCCGACTTTCAGGCACAGATTGATGGGGCCAGCCTTGTCCATGACAACTTTGTGGTCCATAGCGGGAGTGTACTCACAGTGCAATGGGTTCCTGTATCCCCGGAGCCCTCCATCGGGCATGCGCCGGAGGATGTTGCAGTGCCTTCGGATGCTGATTCTGCCACCTTTGCTGATCCTGCGCCTCATGCTGCCAACACTGGGTCGGACGAAAGGGCTGCGCTCACTTCCTCCGGCGGCCGTAGCCGCTCGCCATATCGCACGCGATTTGCTGGAGCGCTTGCAGCGGCCTGCTTTGTACAACAGCCGCCTGTCCTCAGTGCTGTGGTGGTTGCGCGTGGCCCGGACCACGATCTGCCAGGAACGGGTCTAGGGATACCGGCAGCATCAGCTGATATGCAACACTGGATTGCGCAAGGCCGTTCGCTTTTGCAGCGTCCTCCACCGGATGTGATGCGATGGGCGCCGGATCTCCTCCCACTTCAAGAGGACGATCTCAACCTGACAGGCGACATTGTTGAGATTCCCTTTCTTGTCTTTGCGCTTGAATACTGGCCGCAGAAAGTCATCATACACGTTGCTGTGCCCGTTTCTGGAATGCAGGCGCTTGCCGCTGTCAATGAAGCGCGGGACGGACCGTCGCGTGCGCTTTTCCCACATCTGATTCCTGCGTACCCCCAGTCCCGGGCTGGAGTTGGACTACTCCTAGCCATGCCGCAGTGGCCACTAACAGATGTGCCGGTTCTGGTTGACCGAGAGCATTTCGATGGCCGCATGCATTGCGCGGTGCTCGCACCTGCCATGACACGAGCTTCCATCCTGTCTGCCATTGGTGTTGAGCCGCATGCCGCAATTCAGGTATATGTGAGTGACTCGCCTCAGGCCCTAGGTCCCACCGAGGTTTGTTTCCTCTCACCTGGAGACATGCTTTGTGTTGCTTGGAGACGGCACCCAGTTCTTGTCGCAGCCAGCCTTGACGACATGTTGCAGTCAGCAGCAGGTTGGAACTTGCAGGTTGATCTCCCTGGGCACTTCGATAGCGCTCTTTGGGTGCTCACAGAAGCCGAGCCGGTCTCAGTTGATCTCACAGCGTTGGGTCACCGATTACTTCGGGACAAGCTTGCTGAGGTTTCGAATGTCTCGCGCGCTGATCTGACGGTCTGCACCGCCTTCCCGCGCATCTGGGATCATTGCGCTCACGGGGTTTATCACCGATCCGTGCTTGCGGCGATCCGTAGCGGTCCCCTGCCACTCCGTCCTGCCTGCCGCACTGTCTTTCTTGACATGAGGCCTGTGCTGCATGGAATCACCTGCGTCTCTGCTGCGCCTCCCGGCTTCAACCTTGAGGCCTTTGTAAGGAGATTCACCGTCCATTGCCCGGAAGGCTTCTTTGTGCAGGTGCGTGGGGGCGATGCCGTGCATACTGATTTTGGGGTGCATCTTGCTGTGCCTGATGGCGGTGTGCTTTCCGTGCACTTTGTGCCGAGGAGCGTCGAGAGTAGTAGTTCAGATGCAGGCTCAGACCACTCCTCGCCGCCCTCGAGCCCGCGACATCATGATGCGTCCCCCGGAAGAGACGCTGATGCAGATGACACACACGGGCCTCAAGGCAACGATGCCCCCGATGGGCCGTGGCTCAGCGGCGGGGAGCAACGCAGGATCAGGGGCAGAGCTTGCCCCAAGACATTTGCATCTCATGATGCTGCATGTAGTCTCGCAGTTGCATGCAGCGCAATTTTTGGCAGTCGAGTAGTCATGTGGAGCCTCGGTCTATGCAGCCTTGCCCATCGTACTGGGCACCGTGGCGTCACCCCTGTCCTCCTGCCAGCAGGTAGAGTTAACTCTGCTCATGAGCCAAGGGCGAGTGGAATAACAACGTGGTGTGCCGTTTGCATAGCATTTGTTGTTTTTCTGGTGCCTAGGCTTAGCGGTGGTTTTCAGCCTGCTCGTCGAGGGTATGCGCCCCTTCGGAGATGCAATGGACATCGAATGTATTGGCACATTCTTCGTTTAACACTGTTATGCCTGTTACTCTGCGACTTTGTGCAGGATCTAGGTGCAGAAGGTGTGCAATTGCCTAGCCGACCTGAAACCGCAGTAGACACACGCACCCTTGCAATTGACCCTGCAACTGACGAGAGTGTTCGTTGTGAGCCTCTGCATAGGCCCCTGCCTACCCCCTGCCGCCACAGGCCCTCTCGGCGCACTGATGGCACAGCCCAGCACGGCGGAGAGGACGAGGTGCGACTAGGGGTAGGGTTCCCTGGACAGGGCGACCTAGAGACTTTAGGATTTCTGCATGGAGTAGGCCCGACCCTACTCGAGCAAAGTGTGCGTGACAACTGTGCGGACGCACCGCACCCCTTCTTTTTGGCGAGTACGCTACTCGATACCCTGTTCGAACACATTGCAGAACCCTCAGTCTCTGCTAGCGTAGATTGCCCTAAATATGGGCCTTCGGCACCCGCAGAAACAGCCGCTACGGCGCTACCTCCTGCCGAGCCCCGCCGTGTTCTCTGCTTGGCCGAATCACTTGGGCACTCCGTCCCAGGCTCTGGGTCAGAAGGCACCGAGCATTTTGATCTGACTGACGGTCAGTGCCTTCTGCCATGCAGTACTGAGCACCTGCAGACACTGCAACAGAAGGTGCGACCTTGTGCCCTTGGGGGCATCCCCACAGGAGTGCCCAAGCCATGGCGGTTTCAGGATTGGGTTGATTCAGGTTCGGTCGGCCGCCTCCCAGGTCCTGGCGAGAGACTTGTCCTCACAGCAGATGGCTCCTTCTGCTCGCGCACAGGGTCGGCGGGATGGGCTGTTGTCCTCAGTGTCGCTGCCAGTGAGGATCCCGGACACGGGCAATTCGTTGGCTGTCTCTTCGGTACTGTCGACACGGCAATAATACAGGAACCGTGCAGCGCCTTCGTCGCTGAGGTTGCCGGCCTGCTTTGGGCCGGAGTGGTTGCGTTTCAGCATCCAACCTTTGCGGACCTCACTTTCCGTGCGGACAATCAGGCCGCCCTTCAAGGAGTTGAAGGTAAGATGCTCATGCCTGATACTTGCTTGTCGCTTGCGGCTCGGAGCTTGCACTTTGCTTTGGCCGTTTTGAATCAACGGACACTCGCATATCAGCATGTTCGCGGGCATGATGGTGATTGTGCCAATGAACTGGCAGACGGCCTTGCCAACTTAGGAGCTGTAGGCAAACAACGTCTGTTGCCATTCACCTTCCCCCTCCATGAGTGGCTTGCTGACCGTGCAGCTCGTGCGCGCTGGTTGCCGCACGTATGCCTTAGCATCACTCGACCATCTGTGCTTCCAACGTTGCGCAATGGTCTTCTCTCTTGGACGGCAAAACAGGATGCGCCGCGACTCACGCCGCATCAGCTTATGGGACCTTTCACTCGAGCCCTTGGCGCTGCGGGTGGTCTTGCTGCCTCCGCCAGCTTTGACTTTCAGTGTAGGTGCGCATCCTTCAACTCCTTATCGCTCCTTGACCCAGCTAGTGCTGAAGTTCAGGGCGGCGGCCTGTATGGCGCCGCCGGACGCGTCGGGCTACTCGCCAACTCACTAGCCGCATGTCAGGTGTATATAGCGGGAGTGCAGGAAACACGTACGCCGGCCGGCAGTTGCATGCAGGCGCTGTACGCCCGGTACGGCAGCGGGTGCAACGAGAGAAGGTGCTATGGAGTTGAGCTGTGGATTGCTCGAGGTGAATCATGGCCGTCCCACGTGTTTTCGGTGAGCCACGCGGACCCTTGCCGCTTAATCGGTCATTTGCAGTTCGCTGAACTTTCGCTGAATGTGCTTGTTGGGCACGGGCCTCACCGCGCCTTTTCGGATTCAGCTCGCCGAGAATGGTGGGCGGACACCCTCCGTCTATGCAGGACAAGCCTCCAAGGCTCGGATTGGCTCGTGCTCGTGGACGGCAATTGTCGTCTTGGTTCCGAAGTTTCAGCCTTTGTCGGAGGCCATCAGCCAGATGTCGAAGATGTTGCCGGCACTGCCTTTCACGAGCTTCTGGGTTGCCTGCATTGCTGGCTGCCCAGCACATTTGAGTACTGCATGGAAGGAGATGGGGGCACTTACATGCAGTCGCAAACACAAGTGCTCCATCGTTGCGATTTCGTCGGGCTTCCCAGCTGTTGGAATGTGTGGCATGTGCGCGCTTTCGTTGAACCGGGCATCACCGCGGGACACGTTGCGCCAGACCACTTCGCAATAGTGGTAGAATGTCACATTGCCCTACAGCGGAGGCGCGGAGGCAAGAAGGCTAAACGCATCGACCCTGTTGCGCTCAAGGACCCGCGCAATGCCGAACGCATTGACAGCATTTTGCGTGATGCACCTCAGGTTGAGTGGAGCGCCAATGTTAACGATCATGCAGCGGTTGTGGTTGAATACTTCTTTGGGGCTCTTTCTAGTAACTTCCCCCTAGCCAATAGGCGCATGCGTAAATCCTTTCTTTCGGCAGAAGCAGGGACTTTGCACGCAGCCGTCGCGCATCTGCGCTATGCCCTGCGCAACCGGTCTGCGGCATTGCGACTGGCGCGCTTGAGATGCGCATTTCTTGCTTGGCGGGGTTCGGACTGCTTTCCCGACTTGTTCTTCGGTGAATGGGCCAGTCATCTGCAGCTCGTCATTTCCGCTTTGGCGTCCCGGCTTGCGGATGCTGGTCAAGCCCTCAAAAGAATTTGCCGGCGGGACAAACGCTTGCACATTGACTCTCTTGCAGATCAGGTCCAACAAGCGCCTGACGGCGAGGTTCATGTTGCTCTGCGGCGGATGCTGCGACCCAAGAAGTTTCGCCGCTCCGGACATGACCCCCTGCCGCGTCTTCGCAACTCCGAAGGAGGCTTCTGTGCGTCGCAAGCTGAAATCACCGCAGAATGGCGTTCCCACTTCGCGGCGCTTGAGGGCGGCCGCGCAGTCTCTCTTGATGAACTTGTGCATGCTGTCGTTCAAGGGCAGGCGCAGGCGGATCCAGTCGAGGTATTGCACTTTGACGAAGTTCCGGACCTGCCCTCTTTGGCCGTGCATTTTCGCGCTGTGTCTCCGAATAAGGCATGCGGACCGGACTGGCTTCCTCCAGCCTTGTGCAGGCTCTTTTCCTTCCAAATGGCGGAGGTGTTCTATCCTGTGCTCTTGAAGACCCTCGCGTACACCGCCGAACCGGTCGGGATGAAAGGAGGAACCTTGTACAGGATTCCAAAAGCAGGGGCTCTTGACCCGTGCTCGGTGACTTCACAGCGTGCCATCCTGGTGCAATCCGTTCTCGAGAAGGTCATGCACAAAGCAGTTCGTGGCCTTACTGTTCGGGAATGGAACAAAACCGCGCCAGATCTCATGATAGGGGGGCGTAAGGGTCAAAGTTACGTCTTCGGGTTTGTCTGCACTCGTGCCTTCCTTGAGTACACTCGCCGCCGCTCTATTCCATCTGCTATCCTCTTCACTGACATCAGTTCGGCTTATTATTCCGTGATTCGTGAGCTGCTCACAGGTGGCAAGTTGGAGCAGGCGAGTGTCCTCGAAATCGCGGCGTCCTTGGAGCTTACGCCCGAGGATTTGCAGGCCCTTCAGGCCCACGTGGCAGACGAGCCCGTGCTCTGTGGCGAAGACTCTGGACCTCTTCTGGCGGCGCTTACTCAAGAGCTACACTCAGGAACTTGGTTCCTGATGCACCAGGATGCTGAGGTCGTTCATACCCGCCGGGGCACTCGCCCCGGCAGCAGCCTTGCTGACGTTTTGTATGGGCTGCTCTTCACGCGTGTACTCCAACGACGCGGAGACTTTGCGTCCGAAGGCTGGAAGCCGATCATTCCTTGGAATGGACGCCGAGACCTGCAGCCCTACGATGGCAGGGCAGCGCAGCAAACATCCGTCGAGGTACAGGACCTGGTGTATGCTGACGATCTGGCGACATGTATAGTCGAACGACAAGTTGCCAGGCTCTTTGGAGCGCACCTCTGCTGCCATGCTGCCGTCAAAGGAGATCCGGGATCCCAGGTGTTTGTACTGTGCAACGGCCGTGAGCCATACCCCAGGACCATTCTCGCGCAGAATGGGGAGCCTGCCACCATTGATCGAGAAGACCTGTCGGCGGACCTCTTTAGAGCCCGCGCCGACCGGCGCTAACAACGCCGCGGTCTTGCGAGGGCCAACGTTCGCCCTGAGACCGTGCCCGGAGAGGACATCAATTGATGTACTCGCCACACCACGAACTGCGGCTGCAGTCGGCAAGGGCATGCTTTCATGAAGGCAAACGTGACGTTTTCTGCAGCCCTAGGATTGACCTGGCCCGCAGAGTCTCGCTTTTTCGCACCCACGTGCTGTCGTCGCTTTTCGCGGGCAGTGGGGGTTGGCCGTGCCTCTGTAAGCGTGGGTGGTCCCTTCTTGAGACGGGCTTTTACCGCATGCTGCGGCAGATGCTCCGCATTCCCAGGCACGAGGACCAGAAGTGGACGTATGAGCGTATTTTGGCGGCTGTCGGCCTCCCTTCGCTCGAAGGTTTCCTTGCACTGGAGCGCTTGCGCTTCGTGGCACAACTTGTCCGCAGTGGGCCGGATGCAGTTTTTGCCTTGATCCAGCAGGCCCCCGGCTTCCTCCGGGCCATTGGTTTGGCAGAACAATGGCTGCTTCTGGCCACGGAGTCCACTGGCAGCCCGGGGTCTTTCGCAGGGGCTTGGCCCGCCTGGTGTGACTTGATGAACTGCCGAGGGCGTTGGAAAGGCCTTCTGCGGCGAGCCGAACGCTGGCATGTCCAGCGTATAGGCGCTCTTGCTGAGTACCAGCAGGTACTGCGCACAATCTGGCATCGTATGCCCGAACCTGTCGTCGATAGCACTCAGACCTCTCATGCTTGTCTGGCGTGTCGCATAGCCTTCCAGGACTGCCATGCTTGGTCTGCTCATGCCGCTAAGGTTCATAAGTATAGGTCCCGTGCTCGCAGGCTTGCGGTGGGGGTCCGGTGCCAGGCCTGCGCCACAATTTTCTGTACCAATATTCAGTATAGGCGGCACCTACAGGTTTCCCTGCGCTGCTGTCAAGCGCTCGAGCGGGGCTTTGACGGGCTCTTCGAGGTTGTAGAGGCTCGGCACGGACATGAGCAGGGACCCTCCATCGAGGGCGTGGGTACTGCTCACCTGCCGCCGCTCGCGGATTCAGTTTCCACTCCTTTGCTTCGGGTGCTCCAGGAGGGCACTTGGCAGGAGGCTGAGCAAATCTTCGATGCTGTGATTGCTGTGATTGAGCCTCTTCCTGTACTTCGGAACACGGTTGAGCTTTGGATCATAGGACTCCGGGATTCACACTTGTCTGAACTTGCCAGCGACGTGCTGCTTGGACTTCAGGCTGATCTCTGGTGCACAGCGGTTTCTAGCGCACCTAGGGATAAGGATGTAGTCTCGCCTGGGTTTGAGCCTCTCCTAGTCCCTTTCCCGCCAGCTAGTCCCGCTCGTGCAGGCCTGCCTTCGCTGCTCGTGTCCTCCGTTGACACAGGAGCGAGCTCGGCGGATGTTGTCCGGCCGTTCTGCTCTCAGGTCCCAGCAGGCAGGTGCTTTGGACATGTCACACTGTGCATCCCTGCACCGCCGGTGCAATGCAGCACATTTTGGGAGCCGCGCTCCTGCACTCTCCGAGACTTTGCATCCTTTCGGGTTTGGCTTAGCCATGCGCTCGATTGGTTTTCCTTCGTGATCGCCCTCGGTCGGCAAGGCACCATCTGTGAAGTCTCTTGTCAGTTTCCTAGAGTTTTGGGCGGGGAGTTCGCTAACTGGATTGAGGAGTCCGTCCGGTTATCGCCTGAACCCTCGTCCCTTGTTTTCGCTTTCACTTGAATTCGTTGCTTGAGGTACGCTCTCGGAGAGCTTTGCACCTTCTGAAATAATAAAATATATGAAGCCTACTTTTTTGGTGTTGTAGGCTCAGGGTTTCTTAATCAGGTTCCTACATTAAGAGCCAGCGGCAGGGTTTTAAGGGTTTTCCGGCTTTCTGATGTCTTTAAGGATGGAGGGGGCCTGCCGCATTAAGGGCTTTCGTGTGGTCAGGCAATGTTCAAAGGTCTTACGCTTGCTTCAGTCCTGGTCCTTAAATCGGGAACTCCAAAACGGACCTTAAGTTGGGATCTTGTTGAGGAATTTAGACTATTTAGATCAGCGTAGTAGGGATCTATAGGAAATCATATGGTTTCTGTAGTATGGTACCTTAAAACTGGACTCCTTAACAAGAGCCCAGTACGGTCTCTCAGTGCCATGTGACGGTCGGACTTCTGTGACAGCGGGCTACAGTTGGGGATTTGGGTCTTTCTTGTTACCCCTATACCCTACCTGGACCCTAAGGAACCTACGTTTTTCAGGGTTCCCTAATGTGATTTCTTTATATGTCCTTAAAAGGTAGGTAAGTTACTTGGGGTTATGGTAAACCCTTACAAACCCTAACGTCTGGTACGTGATGGCTCGGATGTGCAGTGCGGGCTGAAAAGTATAGTATCCCCCATTCCGGCCCTGACAGACAGAATACGGAGGCCTTTTATTCAGTCTTTGGCCTGACAATGTATGTGAGTTAGATGCCAGTTGATAATTATAACCAAAAGTAATATTACTTATCGTTCAGGCTTCTGTTTTAAGCCAGGGGGTCATTTCAGTAGTAAGCCGGGCCCGAAGCCTATAGAAACCTTATAAAGAACCCTGAAAAGAAACTCTATAGAATCCCTTGTAAACCTGAAGCCCTAAACCCGAAAACTCTAAACCCCTAAACCGTGCGAGAGCCTGGGCCTAACCTTTTAAACCACGATGGGCCTGTGCTTGATGAGAGGCCGGTACACCCCGCTGATGCTGTCCCAACCTGATTCTGCGTCTGCGGCTTCGGGGATTTAGGGCCTAGTTTGTGGTGTAGGGGCAGTCCAGGGTTGACGGGTTTTAGGGGTAACAGGTAGGGATCTGGAGGCCAAAAGTTAGGGTTTAGAGCTTGTCTCATTGTTGGTTCTGCCTGAGGATGATGGCACCATGTATGTGGGAGTGAGATACAGGGCTTGCTGTTATTCATACGTCATACATGCGCAGAAGTGAGAGAAAAGAGAGAAAGAGAGAGAGAGAGAGAGAGAGAGAGAGAGGGAGACACACACACACAAAGGGGCTGAACGTTTTGTGACCTGCATTCACGGCTGAAGGTATGTGAAGCCAACGTGCCTGTAGTAGCCTATAAACCCGAAATCCCCTGGACCACTCCGGCTATCCTTGCAAGTTGTGGTGGTTGTTGCATTGCGCAGATTTCCTTTGCACGTGCCACAGGGAGTAGACACACTAAAGCCCGAAGCCACAAACATAAAAGGACCATGGTTTTCGGGGGTTAGGATTCGTGGTTTGTGGCTTGCGTGTGTGTGCCCTTTTCATCTCGGGCAGAAACAGACATGGGTCCTACGTAAGCTTTGTCTACACTGTGTGTATGTATATATATATATATATATACATGTGTCTGTGTGTGTGTTTGTGCATATATAAGCAACACAAGACAAAATAACGCCGACAGAGAGAGAGAGAGCGAGAGAGAGAGAGAGATAGGGAGAGAGAGAGAGAGAGAGAGAGAGAGAGAGAGTGTGTGTGTGTGTTGTGTGCGTGTGCGTGTGCGTGGGTGTGTGTGTGTGTGTGCGCGCGCGTGTGCGTGTGCGTGTGCGTCTGTGTGCAGCTGAAGCACAGAAGCACTGGAGCAGAATCCTTGGTTCAGTTTAGGCTGTGGGGGTTGTAGGTTCAGGAGTAAGGGTCTATGCAGAAGGACTAGGGCCTATAGGGCTTGGTTCAGAACCGAAGCTCAGGGATGGGTCTTTGGCTATGAGGTTGTTGCTTTCGTCGCGAGATTAGTCACATAGTCTGCGATCCCCTGCTACTTGTGTCTGTTACCCACTTCGGGTGCGGTAGCGTCCTGAGGCACGATTCATGGCAAACGTCTATACATTTCCTCAGTCTGACCTCGAAGGGCCAGTACGTCAGGGAAGTCTTGGGGCCGCATCTCTGAGAAGCCTCGTGGTCGTGAGGATTGAAAGTATACTGGAGCTCAGATGACAAGCACTGCGGCAAGGGTACCTGTGCAAAAGTGAAGCCCTCCAGTTCATGGGGGAGCGATCGCGGGAAAACGCCCTGAAAATGCTGAAGATGTCTTGAACGTACCCCCTCTTGCAGTGATGACAGCGGCTGACCTCATTTCATAAACCCGCCCCCGAACTAGGCGACGGATTAGTAGCGGTGGCGGTTGATCCCATCTCGGTTAAAGCCGCCCCTCATCAGGTGATGGCGAATCATCCTATTCCGTAAATCCCCCTCCCCTCATTCAGGTATAGCGGTTGATCCGATTCCTTAAACCGCCCCCTCAATAGGTGATAAGGGTTGAAGCCATGTCTTTAACCCGCCTCCTCACTACACCATGGCGATTGACAGCCTCACTAGACGCTGGCGGTTGATGCCATGTCTCATATCGGGCCCCTCATGAGGCCATAGCAAATATAGTACCACTTCTTCAACCCGCCCCCTCATGAAGCGAAAGCCGTTGCTCCCGTCGCTCAAGCCAGACCACTTGTCAGGCGATGTGGTTGATAATATAGGGGCCTTAACAATTACCTATACAATTTGAGGGGTTCCTTATTACAGGTATAGTATAATGGGCCCCAAAATCCTATTCTTATTGCTGAGGCCACAATATTACTTCTTGAACCCGCTCCTTCATGAGGCGATGGCGGTCGATCCCAGGTCAGATTTCAAAACCCCGCAGCTTGCGTGCTCGCCTGCTGACGCTCCGTCGTGCTGGCATGCTGGCTTGCGTCCGTGCTTGCTTGCTTGCTTGCTTGCTTGCTTAGAGGATAAACAACAACAGCACGCACCGATCAACATGCAAAACTTATACCACTACCCTTTGCTGTGAACTTGCTCTGAATGATGCTGCACACCTCCGATGGCCACATCCCTCCATCTTACTGGCCCGCCTTGCTAGGGGTTGGCACAATGAGGAGTTGCACCGGGATTATCAACTACTACCACTGCTCCGCTTGCAAGAGCTGCTAGACAGGCCTACCCATCCATCCTAACATCCAACCTAAAAAAGCCCCTGACACCCTCATCTAGGCTCTTCGGACCTGACATACTAGTTCCCATTTCTAAATGACCTGCTGTGCAGTTTCAGAATATCCGTTACGAAACAATTACTATGCGTGAGGGTCTAGATAGGGTTTACTGCAAGATATGCAAACATAACGGAACCCCAGCAGCCCGAAAAAATCCCTAAACCCTAAACCCGTATAGTAAAGTCAGAAAGTTGGAACATGATTATCCGCATGCCCTGAAGGTAAAGTATAAGGGACCCATCTTCCATCCCAGACCCCGGAATGAAGCATCGCGAATCTTCTCTTGAAACACCGACCTTTGTTGGCATTGGGTCCTATGGCACGCCAAAAAACCTAAATTCCCTAAACCCTCTGTAAATATTCCTTAAATCCCCCTTCGAATTCCCCGACAGGAGGCAAGGATGCATCGAGCAAGCTCCGGAAGTTTCTGTCTGCGGCGATGTTGTAGGGATGGTCCAGTGGCCTTGCCCCAAGGGGTTTAGGGTTTAGGGTTTCGGGTTTAGGGATCCTTCAGTGATTCAGGGGGGTAAGGGGGAGGGGGCCTCAATATGCAATATGCAAAGGGGCTGGCTTCAAGTTTAAAGTGTCCAGACTTGGCCAGTTTTGGGGAGCGCTTGAAGTCTGTGGCCTGACTCAGCCTTGGTCTTGGCTAAGGCATGTAGGATCTCTTGTATTTGTACCGCTGAGTCCGCATCAGATGTCTCGGACATTTTGACCAAATTCGTCGATCCCCACCTACCCCAAACATCACCATAACCCCGAAAACTCTAAACACTAACCCAAACCCAAACATCACCCTAAACCCTTGCTGTGCTCTGCGCATCGGCTGAGGGCTTTGCAGATTGAGATCCACACCGATCAGCTCCATCCCCAACACCTGGAAGTGCACTCGGAGCAGATAAAGATGCACTTCTACGAGTATAGGATTAGAGTTTAAGGTTTAGGGTGTGTAAAAGTATGCGCGAGGTGGGTGCGCTTCTTTTGAAATGGGGGCGCGCCCACAACTCGCGCACTTGCGTCAGCATGTAGTCCCGCCCCAGTCAGGCAAAGAAGCCATTCCCAATACAGTTAATTGAATGTGTGGCTGCTGCCGCAACAGTGGCAAACCAAATATTGATTTATGACCTTCCTCCCGCCAATGCTCCTGGGTGTAGTAGAAGCAAGTCAAGCAGTGGTGGGAGCAGTAGCAGCAGCAGCAGCAGCAGCAGCAGCAGCAGCAGCAGCAGTAGTAGTAGTAGTAGTAGTAGTAGTAGCAGTAGTAGTGGTGGTGGCAGTGGCAGTGCCACTGCCACTGCCGTGGTAGTGGTAGTGGTGGTAGTAGCAGTAGTAGCAGTAGTAGTCGTCGTCGTCGTAGTTACTGGCATCTGTGCCGGGAACAAACGGTTCAAGCAGGCCCGTTCCTACTGCCGAGGTTTTGCCCTCACCTACTCCATCTACCGAAATCTAGGGTTTAGGGTTAGGGTGTAGGGCCCTTGAGTAATCTTCACACTGTGCCGAGGTCCGGGCTGCAAAGATAAAGACGAGAGTGATGATCATCACGAACGTCCAAAACAGTGTCATCACCTAAAGGTCGGCTTGGAGTTTAGGGGTCTAGGGAAGTTGATGGTGACGTGCCAGATTTGGTTGTGGTGGCCGCTTTCATGTATCACGTGCTGTTTGTTATTTGTTGTCGCTGATGTTGTGGTGGCGATGGTGGT